TTCATGGCCCCTCCAGCTGTTTGTCATTGCGTTTGTTTTGAGAAATGCCGCTGTGAGGCTTGAGAAAAAACACATTCTCGTTCACCAATCACTCGCTTTTTTTCTCAACTCAACCTTTTTAAACTCCGTTCTTTATGTGACGCTTCAAATCTGGGGTTGTCTTTCTAAAAAAAGCTATCTGAAATACAAACGAAAGGGAGAAATACTTTGTACGTATTATACGTATATATTGTACGCTGTCCTTTATTCTCTAGAGCCGTTAGTTCAGGGCTCAGAGACTCACTGTTCACTGGATTTGTCTCCCGCTGCAGTCAAAGCACGTTCAGTAAAAGCTTGGATATCCCGGATGCCAAACGCAAAGCAAAGAGCAAAGAGGAAAGGTACCAGCCGACCTCTGACCTCCAGAGCTTTAGTCCTCAAAGATGCAGAGATGCTTTTCCTGTCCAGAGCTTTCCAGAGAGACTTCTGTCTGCAATAATCGACTGAAAGAATCATTTAGTTCAAACCATCTCAACACACTTTAGGGCTGCTTAGTGTTATGATATGCGAGTTTGAACTTCATGTTTAAAACAAACTTGCTGAGGGCTAATTAACATACTTCTACTAAATATAAAAAAAATTAATATGTTGCTGATGGTGAAGTACTTTAGGACAAACTGCGTTGCCATAAATTGCGTCTTGATACAATATCAGAGTACTGTTCGGTGAATCTCACAAAATTTATATTACAAACAACTGAAAAAAGCAGTATTCATTAATATGAAACATGTTAAATTAATATGAAATGTCTCTAGGTTACGTATGTAACCATGGCTCCCCGAGGGAATGAGACGCTGCGTCGAGTCGCTTTGGGAGCGCCCTTGCGTGACCGCGTTCTGAAGCACGTGTCAAATCCGTCCAATGGAGCAGCGAGACGTCACGAGCAGGGTGACGTAAGCACCAGAAAGCATAAAAGCGCATCCGGCCGGGCGCAAACCAGCTTCGATGAAGTAGCGCCTGCAGGGATGCAGGGAGTATGGCAAAGAGACGTAGTGTCTCGTTCCCTCGGAGAACCATGGTTGCATTCGTAACCTAGAGACGTTCCCCTTCAGGAACTCGAGCTGCGT